TTGTTCAGGCTTGGCCAGCTAAGCTAGTAGTTTCCTTGGAAGAACAATGAGAGGTGGGCTGGGCCACCATGGGAGCCAGTCCTGAATCACTGTGCATGTAATTTAATTAACAGTTCAGAAGGCATGGACATTGAGCTGTGTGATAAGCTAGTTAATTTTGTGTTTGTATCATTTTCCCTTTCTTTCTTTCTTTCTTTCTTTCTTTCTTTCTTTCTTTCTTTCTTTCTTTCTTTCTTTCTTTCTTTCTTTCTTTTTCAGTACCACGCCCCTCTGATCAGGTAAAACAGAATCCTACAATGAGTTGGGCCCCTTGAATGTGAAAGGATTTCAGAACGTTCAGAGTGAAGTGCCATTACCTTAGTCAACCGATAAAATGTCAAGCAAAGTTTACAGACTAAGCAAAGTTTAGAAATTAAGTAAAATCTAAAACATGGGAAAATATGAGCTGATCTATGTTTAAAGAATTTTTTCAGGATTAAAAAGAGATATTTTTAGTTTAAGTTTGTGAGTGCTTTGCATAGATAGATAGATAGATAGATAGATAGATAGATAGATAGATAGATAGATGGATAGATATAGATAGATATAGATATAACACATGCATGCCTTGTACCTGCAGAGGACAGATGTGGTCACCTGACAGCGGAGTTACAGACAAGTGTGAATTTCCCAGTACTTGCTGGGAACCTAGGTCCCCTGCAGAAGCAGCAAACACTCTAACCGTGGAGTCATCCCTTCAGACCCTTTTGTTTACATCTTGTTCAAACTTTTCATTTTAAACAAAGCATTGGTTGGGTTTGTGAGGTGCCTCTTAGATTTAGGATGAGAAAGGACTACTAAGCAGTTGAACTCAAGGCCACACACGTCCTGCGTGAGCAGAGCTCGTTGTTGTTTATATCCTGAGGAAAAACAGTATCTGATTTTTTTGATTTTTTTTTTTAGGTTGTGTTGATGTTTCTGATAAGGAAGGTCCCAGCAGGGGAGGGCTGCTTTCTCTTCCCACATCCCCCTCGTGGTTTTTTGTTTTGTTTTGTTTTTTGATTTCTTATTCTGCCTCACATTATTTGCTCTCTTTCTGGTTGCAGCTTTTACCATTTAAAAATCTTACTTTATGTGTATGGATGATTTTTTTCCTACATGTATGTCTGTACCACTTGAGTGCCTGGTAACAGAAGAGGGCATTTGGATCCCCTCCCCTGCAACTGGTGTTTAAGAAGATTGTGAGCCACCACCAAGTATTTGGCACCCAGAATCAAACCCTGGCAGAACAGACAGTGCTCTTGATTGCTGAGCCATTTCTCTTGCCCATTTTATTACTTTTAAAGTTGATACTTGGAAATAATCTTTTTTTTATATCAACTGTGAAAACTTTTCCCTTATAAGGTAATGTAATGGACACACGCTCATAGTCTAAGGCTTATATTTATTGCTTTTAAATAAATTTTTTGAACGTTAAAGCAAAACCTTTGTTTTATTTGTCCCACTACGATTGGCATATAATTTGCCAGAGGCTTTTTCCGTGCCTTTGTTTGTTTGTTTGTTTTGGTTTTTGGGTTTTGGAGACAGGATTTCTCTGTGTAGCCTTGGCTGTCCTGGACTTGCTTTGTAGACTAAGCTGGCCTCGAACTCACAGTGATCCTCCTGCCTCTGCCAGAGGGATTAAAGGTGTGTGCCACTGTGTTAGGTTTATCAATGTCTTTTAATGACATGGTGTGTGTGTGTGTGTGTGTGTGTGTGTGTGTGTGTGTGTGTGTGTGTGGTGGGTAAGAGGACAGCCTCAGGTTTTAGTTGATGCTTTCCACTTTGAGATAGGGTCTTTTGCTTTTCTTTTGAATACACATGAGTAGCTGCCCAGTGAGCTTCTGGGAGATTCTTCCTTCTCTGCTCCCCATCTCCCTCTAGGAGAACTGAGGTTGTGGATGCATGCTACCAAATCCTGCCTTTTATGTGGGTTCAGGAGATCTGAACCCAGGTCTTTGTTTCTGAGGCGAACTCTTTGGCCACTGAGCCATCCCCTTACCTGAAGCTATGTGTTTTAAGGTGAAACGAGCTAAAGTGTGAAAAGAAATAAAGCAGCTTCCACGATTGACAGCTGTTGTCATTGTCACTTTTTATTTTTATTTTATTTTTTTTCCTTTTTGAGGCAGGGTCTCATTATAGACACCTGGGTGGCCTGGAGCTAGTAGAGATCAGCCTGCCTATGCCTCCTAACTGCTGGGATTACAGGTGTGTGCCACCACTTTCAGCCCCATTTTGACATTCTTAATAAAAAGAGACACCTCAATGCTGATTTTAGGATAACTGTGTGAAACAGTCTGTGGCTTTTGGGCTGCCTGTGAGTTTGTTTTACTCTTTACAGGTAATTAGGTGACCTTATAGACGATTTAGTAATGGTAGAAATAGCTTTTGTTTTTGTTTGATGTGATAGGGTCTCAGTAAAAATAATCTTTTAATTACTGCATGAACTTATATAAAAAGATGACAACAGTGAAAATTATTGCTAACTCTGGTATTATGTGAATATAGTTTTATTTAGTATTAGTGAGTTATTAAAAATAATCTTTTGTGAATTTTAATATAGGAGAATTAAATTGAAAAAAAGACAACTAGACAGCCAGAACTTTTACACAGAGAAACCCTGTCTCGAAAAACAAAACAAAACAAAACAAAACAAAAAAACAAACAAACAAAAAAAAAACAAAAAAAAAAAAAGAAAAGAAAAAAAAAAGATAATTTAGGCAGGTAGGAAAACCACACTTTTGGAAGAATCCGCCCTAAACTCAATCGGCTGAATGAACAAACCCCAAATGCTGAGACATTCTCATTGACTTCTGTGTGCCAACCCACACTTGTGATGATGTGTAGTTTCCTTTGTGAGGTCATGAATGATGTTATCAGCCAGACAAATGGTGAAACTACCTCAAGTCAACCAGCTACCACATTCACATCCAATAGACCACCATGCTTCTGTCTGTATGGGGTAGGCATGTGCATTGTTTAAGGAAATAAAACTAGGACTCTAATCTCTGTCCAGAGTTGATCAAACTAACTGTGTGAATGCAGGCTGTCTCAGGCGCCCCAGAATTTCTCTTCTGGCGACAGGCACCCTTAAGAACAGTTGTCTCAGCGCCCTAAACAGTGTCAGGCTGTGACCAATGGGTGTCTGCTCTCAGGTGGTTTTGATCTTTAAACAAGATAAGGTTTAGCCTAAGGGTAACTGAATGTGTGGCTTCTCTAACCAGGGTACACAGGCTCTTCCCCAGTCTGAACAAAAGTGGATGCTTTTGGTGATATTCCTAGAGAACTGTGGATTTACAACTAGAGAAGAAGGTCCTTGAGCAAATCTGGATCTGGAGTTTTGATTCTCTGGCTGCTGAGGCCCTTCAGCCATTCCCAGGGAAGGGCTCCTTTCCCTTTCTGTGTTTCTTTGGTCATGCCTGCCTTTCTAAATTGCATCAACAAAGACACTAAGGAGAGATCTCCAATCAGGGTACTTACAGGAAATATTTCCCAGGTGAGAATGTTAATAAAAAAACCCACGTTGGAATTTTGGAGTTTGTGAAGGAGATCAGAAGGAAAAAAAAAATTAAGAAATGCCAACCTCTATTTTAATGTATAATATTATATAGTATTATAATGTATAATATTATATAATATATATGTATATATAATTCCAAAATGAGTTCTCTATAGAATCTAGTTATCAACTCCATTGAAATTCTTTAATTTAAGAGAATAGAGCAGCTATTTTACATCCAATATGGAACCCAACATATAATTATAGTTTATATATATATATGTATTTATATATTCTAAGTTAAAACCATCTGTAAGCTTAGTAAGCTCTAAGTTGTTCCATATCAGTAGGGAATAAGTGAGTTGTTCAGACAGGTCTGACCACCACCCATTCCTGAAAATAGGGTGATGGCTTCCTTGTAAGAGGTGGGTGTGCCAACTGCTTTTGTGAATGGAGGGAGGAAGGTCAAATTATTCATTCCTAAATTTTTAAAAAACAAAATTAAAAGTACTCACAGAGTGCTAATCGGTTTTTTGTTTGTTTGTTTGTTTGACAGAATAAAAGTAGACCAGAGGACTTTTGATGGGATCCTTATTTTTTTGCAATGTTCTTGGCTTCTTAAGAAGTCAAAAGATAATTTCAAATCCTCAAGAACAGAACTTAAAAAAAAAAAAAATCTAATCAATCCAGTAGTACAAAACTAGGGAGAAGGAAGAAAGTGCTCCCACAATACAGCCATAACACTGTGAGCACAGAGGCGCCTTCTCCTTGCCACTGCAGTCCTGTCACTGGCTAGAAGAAAACCTTTTCTTTCTCCCACCCTCCTTCTACCATTCCCCCCTCCCCCCTTTTTAACTCCCCTAACAAAAAGAGTTACTGCACATTAAGTTATTGTTTTGTTAGAGGACCAGGGGCTGACATCTGTTGACTTCCTAGCTGTTAAGTGTCTGCTGTTTTAGTGATGGAAATCTCAGTGTGTTGAGTTACATTCAAGAAGGGAAAGCTGCAGAAAATTGTCTCTGAGTTTGAATTGAACACTGGCCACAGGACCTGAAGCAGGCCTGAGGTTTATTGTCCTGTTGAGTGACCCAGGACTCCCACCAGTTTCCCTTGTGGAAGGGATTAGCTGTGGAACAAATTCGCAAGTACAGCTTGTAGTTTTGTCAAATCCACAATGACATTTCTTTTCACAGCTCTCTTGACTTTATACTGTTTAAATACCCTGAGTTGTCTCTTAATTTGCATTTCTTTCTTTAATTCCTGTCAGCTCTGAGTGTAAGGTTTACATAATCAATTTCCTTGTCCTGGTTTTTTTGAGTTATTGCTTTTGGATTGTGGCATACCTATTGGCATGTTAGGAACCTTCTTATTTTGTATTTCCTTGTCTACGTTAAGATACTTTCATAATCTGTACAATGTTTTATTATTAAGATTATTATGCAATGAAATTAACTTCCTATTTTCTCTTTTTTTTTCTTTGTAGGCTAAGCAATGGCATTTCAAAAGGCAGTGAAAGGGACTGTTCTTGTGGGCGGAGGAGCTCTGGCCACTGTTTTGGGACTCTCTCAGTTTGCTCATTACAGAAGGAAGCAAGTGAGTAAGCGCATGAACTGATGATGAAGCATTGTGGCTGTGCACGCTCATGGCTGTGTGTAGAGATTACACTTCACAGTTTAGTTTGAGAGTTCCTCAGTATACAGCCTTATAATGCTTGTGAACTTTTGAGAATCTCGTGTTTTAAGATGGGGATGTCTTCTAAAAAGCCTCTGTTTGGCTCCTTGATTTTTAAAGACTGCTTCATTTATTTGTGCCAGGGTTTGTTCATTTAGACTTTACTTTGTCCAGTTCATTGAAATGCCTGGGTGCTTTCCTTGCTCCTGCCAAGTTTGTACTGTTAGAAGTCAGGAGGCTGGGAACGGAAGTGGAAAAGCAAAGGCCCAAATCTGCTGCCTGATTACATTTCTTTTTTTCCTCGTTCAAACCTTCTTTCTTTCTTTCTTTCTTTCTTTCTTTCTTTCTTTCTTTCTTTCTTTCTCTCTCTCTCTCTCTCTCTCTTTCTTTCTTTCTTTTTCTTTCTTTCCTCTATCATCTCTTTCTATCTTGAGACAGAGTTTCTCTGTGTAGCTTTGGCTGTTCTAGAACTCATTGTGTTGATCAGGTTGGCCCTGAACTCATAGATCCACCTGTCTCCGCCTCCACCTCTGGAGTGCTGGAATTAATTTTAGCTACTTAGGTAGCAAGTACATTATTATCTCACGGAAGGAGGATGATTCAATGAGGGGCACTGCAACAATGGGATTAATGTGAACTTCTGAAGACAGTGTTCAGTTTCCTTTTATTTTTCTCTTTGTACCACAGCCATGAGTTGAGAGCAGGAAATGATCTCACTGCGGGATTTAGTAGTCTTTGGCCTTGAGATGTTATAGCTAGTTCTAATCTCCTATTTCTCTTCTCTCATGCTGTCTGGGTAGTTCAGTTCTGCTTCAAGAGGAGGGTGGAGCTTGGGTGACAAAGCTGGCTTGCTGTCGCACCTCACCACTTCTGCAGCCACCTTTAAGCCACGGGTTTCCCTACAGTTAATTGTTCTTCTTGTTTCTTTTTGTTAGAAGGTGGTAGAACCAGGCATATTGCTTAAAAGTTTCTACCCTAAATGGAAAATACCACCTTAAAAAAAACACATATTAAGAAGAATTAATGTACTACTTCACACTTGCCTTCTAGTGAATAAGCTTCTCATTTCAGACAGGCTTTTTTTCTATAAGCCAGACTGGCTTCAAACTCAGAAAGCTCATGCTTGGCTTGATTTTCCTGTGCACAGAAGTCTCAACACTCAGGAAGCAGACCCAGATGGATCTCTGAGTTCAAGGCCAGCATGATCTATATTTGAGTTCCAGAGTTCCAGGACAGCCAGAGCTACATAGGGAGGCTTTGCTAGGGGAACAAAGAGAGAGAGAGAGAGAAAGAGAGAGAGAGACAGAGAAAAGAAAGAAAGGAAAGAAGGAAGAAAGAAAAAGAAAGAAAGAAAGAAAGAAAGAAAGAAAGAAAGAAAGAAAGAAAGAAAGAAGGAAAGAAAGAGAAAAAAATTATCATGCAGGGATTACAGGCCTGAGCTGCTGTACTTGACATTTTTTATGTATTTCTTCCTAAAGAAGAGAGGTATTGAGAGACATTGTGTTACTCTTTCTTTTCATTCTGGCCTATGGGTGCTGGATCCCAGGGTTTCCTAGTTGGGTGTGTGTTGCCCATATGAACTTCTGGCCTATTGAGCCTCTTCCTTGTCTGTTGACTGTGTTTGATGCACTTTCTTTTAAAAAGCTGCGTTGATTACTTGAGAGCAAATGTAAAAGATGCTACTTCTGCTGAGGCTATTTCAGAAGTCTGGAACATGGACAGTAGGGATTAGATTACTTCCTCTACCTCTGTGTTATCTGAACTGACACTGGGAAATGCCAGGGCCGAAGGTCATGATACCTAATAGGTGTTGCTAAATTTGTATGTGGCCTATGTCTTTTAACCATAGTAAGCATGTTTTACTATAAAGTCTATGGCTTAATTTTATACCTGAGTATTCACTGTTCCATCTTTTGTAAATTTGATTTTTTTTTTAATAACTGATCTCTCAGAATAAACTTGTAATAGTGCTCCCAAGCAGCTGAGTTAGGGCTGGGGTTTCAGAAACTCAAAGCTTAATAAGGGCCTGCTGATTTCTAGAACATTTGTCACTTTATCTTCTTAAGTTAGGCACCCCGGCTATCCTAATAGCTCAGTGAAATGGATGCCAGCAGCTTGAAGTCATTTGTAATTTTAAGCTGACAGGTTCTGTTGGAAAAAAAAAAAATATCACAGGCATATTCCAGTCAGTGAGTTGCATGCATAGGAAATCCAACTACATTTTTAGTGATTCCTGTCCTTTTAAGAGACTACCCTGAGCTTATATTTGAGAGGGTAGCCAAGTGTGAGGTATCCAAAGGGGTTGGGGGAAAATGGACAAACTCCAGAGAGACAGGAGACAGTTTATTTTAGCTGTTGACATAAAATGACCACAGGGCCACCAGTAATGAAGTTTTTTCTCCCACAAAGTATGCCAGCCAGAGCCATGGTATGAGTGAGGACTGTGGTGACTGAATTCAGGAGGTTGAATTCAGGACTTGTTAATTGGCTACATTTTTCTAAGGCCCTTAGATAATGCTCCATTTTTCTGCTGAGTGTTGTGGAGTATATATGCCTTATTGAACAGGTGTGGTCATCTGCTTCCGTTTCCCCTTGCTCAGACCTAATTTTCTAAGATGGTTTACCTTGGAAATTTACTGTCTTTTGAGAAGGTCAGGTGTGGTGGAGCACATTTTTATTCCAGCACTTGTGAGGTAGGTGGTTCTCTGTGAGTTTCAGGCCAAGTCTACTCTACATAACTAGTTCCAAGGCAGTCAGAGCTACTTAGTGAGACTCTGTCTCAGAAAATAAACAAACAGAGAAAAGAAGAATAAGTCAGTGTTGAAAAACCTGGACATAGTGATACATTTTAAGAAACTGTCCCTATATTGTATCCTCCTTTGCAGCTAGTAGTATTCACCTGACTGAGCTTTCTGTTTTAAGTTTAATCTTTGTTGTTGTTGTTGTAGTACTTGCCATTAATCCAGAGCTTCACACATGCTGAACAAGCATTCTCCCACTACATTCCATCCGTGTGTAATTTTTTTTTGGATCAAGTTGATAGCGATTCATTATTCAGTACAAGTGGGTTTAATGATAAACTTCTAGTTGAAAAGGCCTTAGATGACATCTTAGCCAGTCTAACACTGGAGAGGACACAAGTGCCCTCTTCTGGGAGAGTCTCCTTTGTCAAGCTGCTCACCAAGGAGAGGAGGTGAAAGAGGGGATTGAGTCTAGGAGAGAGGGAGCCCTGGACCACTTCCAGAAGCTGATGATTGTTAGAATCTGGGCTGCAGGCCATTCTTCAGGTAGTTAGGAAGAAAGCAGGTAGCCATGGAGAATGGACGGGAACAGGCTGAGATATGGATTACTCTAGCTTCTTTTCACGTTAGGACAAAGGCTTGCTTTTTTTTTTTTTTTTTTTTTTTAATAGTTTACGTCATTTATTTCACACCATTAAGGTACTAACTGGAAAAACTGATGTGATGATTTGGTCTTCTCTCTAACCCACCTGTGTTGCTGTAACAGATCTGTTTCATTGTGAGGGGCCCCTCTTGGGTGATGTGCTGTGTTTGTTCTTTCCATTACCCACTCTGAAGTTTCAGTGGACTTTGTGAGCTGGCCCAGAGGTGAAATAGATTTATGTCTTTACTCCTTCCTTCCTTCCTTCCTTCCTTCCTTCCTTCCTTCCTTCCTTC